CCGTTGTCCCCTGGGGTGTCAAGGTCTTGGTCGCAAGCAGCAGCCATGCGTCCGGCCAGGGCCGTCTTTAACATTGATTGGACACTGGGCAGGCATTTGTTTGGGCCCCCTGGATCCTGCCATCCCTCGCCCTCCCCCCACACTTTCACTCTCTGGCATGCAATCACGCCCTCCACCCCAACACAGTGGCAAAACTAATGTAGACAGGGCCCTGGTGCGAGACATTGTTTTAAGCCTCCCCTCTAGCGCAAGAGCAGAGAAAAGATAGATCCTCATCTGTTGTACAATTCCAACGATGCTATGCCAGCTGGGGATCTACCATTTGTCCATTTTTGCAGGGCTGTATTTGTGAGCAGTGTTTGTGCATTTGAATGTGAGCATGTTGTTGTATACCGTATGTGTGTGCATGTAGGGTGTAGTATTGGTGTTTAAGTGTAGGGATGTGTTTCTATATACTTTTTGAGTTTTAATTCAGGGGTGTGTTTGTATGTAATGTTTGCAGGGGTGTGGTTGCATGTTGTGTTTGATTGCCGTGATGTATGATATACATTCACAGATATACATACACATTAGCACACTGATACATGCACACATCTGGACACATGCACACACTGACAAAGACTGGCATATACACACACAGCCACATACATAAATACACGTGCACACACAGAGATAAAAACACTGGCACATCCACACACAGAGATACACACTTACACACACTGACACAGATATATACACAAATACATATGTATTTGTGTGCAGTGTTGGCGTAGGAATGCAGGGATGTATGCATTGTCACACAGATGCACTCACACACAAACAGTGATACACACAGGAACACAGATACACATTCAGTGGTGTATTTGTGTGCATTGTTAATGTTGGAATGCAGGGTTGTATTTGTGTGCAATGTTAGATGGGATGTATGCATTGCCACACGCACAGATACACACTTACACATACTGACACTCATACACACACAGGTACATATACACAGACAAGCAGGTATACATACAAACTGACACATAGGTATACATACACACAGATACACATAAACACTGACACAAAGGTACATGTACACTGACACAAACACAGCCATATAAACACACACTGACACAAACAGCCAGATACACACTGACACAGCCAGATACACACTTACACACACAGTCAGATACACACACACACACACACACAGTCAGACACAAACACAGCCAGATACAATAACAGCCAGCCAGATACACACACACACACACAGTGAGATATACACACACACAGTGAGATATATGCACAGTGAGATATACACACACACAGTGAGATATACACACAGTGAGATATACACACACACAGTGAGATATACACACAGTGAGATATACACACGCACACACGCACAGTGAGATATACACACAGTGAGATATACACACACACAGTGAGATATACACACAGTGAGATATACACACGCACAGTGAGATATACACACACACAGTGAGATATGCACACAGTGAGATATACACACACACAGTGAGATATACACACAGTGAGATATACACACAGTGAGATATACACATGCACAGTGAGATATACACACGCACAGTGAGATATACACACAGTGAGATATACAGACAGTGAGATATACACACAGTGAGATATACACACGCACAGTGAGATATACACACAGTGAGATATACACACACACAGTGAGATATACACACAGTGAGATATACACACACACAGTGAGATATATACACACACACATAGTCAGATATACATACAGCCAGATACACATACACACACACACACACAAACACACACAGTCAGATATACACACACACACTGACACAAACACACACACAGACAGAGTCATATGAATTCACATAGTTTAGCCACCCTCCTTACCTTTACAGAAGTGTGGCTTCCCTGTGGTCCAGTGGGAGCTGGATGGCTGAGATTGATGGGAGTCTTCTTGGTCTGTACCTCCTCCTCCCCAGCGGCACTCTGTTAATTGGGAGGAAGTGACCTCACAACACTTCCTCCCAGCAGGCAGGAAGACAGGGGCTCGGTCAGGAGCTCTCTTAAAGGGCCGGGGCCCCTGATTACATCACCTGCTGCAGCCCACCGGGATATTTCTCAGTATCCCGGTGGGCTGTTCAGACCTGGCTGCGGGCAGGGGGCCCACAGGGCAGCTGCTTTGGGCCCCCCAGGAGCAACTGGGCCCGGGGCAGCTGCCCCGTTTGCCCCTTGTTAAAGACGGCCCTGCGTCCGGCATTTATTGGTAGATGGTTGCGTAATTGGGGGTGAGGACGGTGCTTTCTCGGTAGGCAAGATACTTCAGGCCTCATTTGGAGTCTTGGTGGCTTGGAGTGGAGGTTTATGTAGGTTAGTGAGCGGGTTCTTCGTCTGCGGTCCCACCGTCGGCGCCTTTTTGGGGAGCCGCTATTGGATATCAATCTGCGTCAGCCCGTGGGGCTTAGGGTTGCAGAGGGTGTACGTGCAGGAGTGGTCTGCTTAGTTGGTGCTGTGTGCATCATCCTCTCTGATATCTTAGCCCAGGCAGCAAATAATTCATCGAGCCTAGTCAGAGAGTGAGTCGCTGGCTCTCCCCAGGCCCCCATGCTTGCCATTTGGTGCGTAGCATCCGCCATATTGGGGTTGAGGATCTATGTGTAGAACAGTCTCTGTGGCTTGCAGTGTCTGTGGTAAGTTGCTGGTGCCGGGATGTCCCTCACCGGCAGGGGGGGGGAAGGCTCGTGGGTGGTCCTCTGTAGATGTAGGATCCGCTTATAGGCAGCCTCGGGCTGGGTGATCGGCCGCCTCACCCGCGCCCTTGCCTCAGCCTAGGCCACAAGACTGAGCGTCCATCACCTCAGTAGGCCCCAGCTTGATATGTCGAATTCCCAGTGGTTTAGTGACTCATGTGTGGTTTCAATACATTCTCCTTTACATCCCCTACGTGGGTGGTGCAATTTGGTGGAGTTTGTAGCTTAAGAGCCTGGTTTAGTTTAATTAGATTGTAGTTTCAGCCGGGAGCTCGTGCTGTCTGCGTCTGATCACCTCCCTGTCAGGCTCCATCCCCCCAATTGACTTATTTATCTTTACTTTTGACAGTTGAAATAGAACCTCTTCCTCTGTCAAATTCACATGTAACAAATGACTCATTTGTCCTTTTTCCTAGCTGAGGCCCCTTTCCTTCATTTTCATCTGTGAATACTGAACAAAAATATTAATTGAGGCAGTCAGCTAGACCTTTATCCACTTCTACATACCTTCCTTCTTTTGTTTTTAATCTAACTAATCCTTGTTTTACTTTCCTTTTCTCATTTATGTATCTAAAAAGTTTTGTGTTCCCTTTTTTATCTGACTGTGCTATTTTCTCTTCTGTGTGTGATTTGGAAGCTCTTATAACTTGCTTAGCCTCTTTCTGCCTCATCTTATACATCAATCTGTCTTCTCACTTTGGATTTTTTTAGCATTACTAAATGCAAAATTTTTATTTTTTACTATTTTGGCCACATCTGCAGAGTACCACAGTGGTTTCTTGAATTTTTTGCTTTTACTGACAAGCCTAATGCAATTTTCTGTTGCCTTCAGTAGTGCAACTTTTAAATAATCCCATTTCTCTTGGACTCCATTTAAATTGCTCCAGTCTGATAATGACTCCTTTACACATATTCTAATTTTAGAAAAGTCTGTTTTTCTAAAGTCTAAAACTTTTGTTTTTGTGTGGTGTGACTCAGTCACTGTTCTTATATTAAACCACACTGGCTGACTGATCATTGGATCCTAAACTTTCACTACTTTAGAGTTTCTTGCTGAACTGGCCAGAGAAGATCATCTTTTGCTCAGGCAGCTTTCTGCAAACGAACGGTTTTACTTTGTTTGCTATCTTTCCATGATTTCTTTGACGTCCACGTGTTTAATGTCGACTTTATTTCTTTTACGATGGTGTACGATGTTAATAACGATGTTATTTTTAGTATTTCCTGCCGAATCATAACTGACGTATCATCTGTGTTTTATCCCCTTTTTCAGGCTAATCCTAATCTTTGTGTAGTTTATGTACTTGCCATTACATTTCGGTTACTAACCCTCTTTGAACTTCCCAATTGGGTCAATTGCCTCTTTCATAGGAGAAACCACATAAACTGGTTATGGTTTGCAATTTGAGATGTTGTATTTGCTGGGTTCTGCCCTCACAGCTATCAAATTCTCTTTCAGAGCATATTCCATTCGTGTGCAGCTGCATTTCATGCCTTTGTGGTGAGCTCTTCTTTTGCAAAAAGGATATTATTCGGTCTGCTGATTGGTCTCAGTAAACAACATTTCATCCTTCTAACAATCTTCTCATGCTCCTTCTTCACTGTTATCCTCGTTTTAAAATGTAAAAAAAATGACGCTTCCTGTCATGTGGTAAAACTGCAGATTATCCTAGCTTTAGTATAAAGATAATTCTAATTTGAATTACATATTTTCCCACCCAGGCACCCTTCCCTTTCTTCTGACAATCGGAATTATGTGTATTAATGGTTTATCAGTCTACTGAATGTTTTTCATGGTATAGTAAATATATTGATTCCTGTTTATTTATTTAACTAATAGTTGGCTCTGCTATGCATTGGTTGTTTAATCCTGCTGTATTATGACCTCATAGATATGTGATGTTATTGTGATTTTCTTTTTCTTTCAAAATAACGTGTACCAAACCTTAATGGATGTTCTTGGACCTTGTTCATCCATATGTTGATCTAACTTTTATTAGTTCTTTATAATTATTATTTTCATCAAAGAAAAGGGAGGTACTGCCTGTTGGGATGCCCTATATACCGTGGCATTGGTTTTTGATTGGTTAAAACTGTATTGATGGTATATTCTGCTATGGAGTGGCAATAAAGAAAGCTAAAGCTAAATATTATCTTCCTGTAATTACTAACATTAGGATTGTCTCTACACTAAAGCAAGGATAAATTGCAATTGATATGTTTTGTAGATGGCACAGCCCTATGACAGATGACTTGTCACCTTTCTAAATGTTTGCCTTTATTTGAGGTAAGCATATTCTCATGATTGGCATGACTATCCACCACATTTATTTCACAACTTTTAAATTAAATAGTATGTCCCGTTAGCTTTGGTGTAAATAATGAATAAAAGGGTGCTATGTTTAGAACAAGCGACAACTTAACAATAGTTCCTAACTAGTAACACAAACTTTTCCAAAATTACATGCAGATACTATTGCACATCTTGTCTGTGACAGATCATTTGCAAGATCATGTTCTGGAGCTTCCCTTCCAATAAAGCATCAAGTTTGTTTCCTGCAAATAATTCCATGAAAAGTTGAAAAAGCACACAATATAAATCCATTCAACTGGGGCCTCTAATTCCAATCAGACTGACAGTTCGCTGTGAAAACAATACATAATATTCTTGGATTACAAGATATATTTTCAGTCCCATATTTACCAGTTGGCATCAAAAAGCAGTAGTAATTCACTGAGCCATGATGTGCTTGTAAGTAAATTATGTAATATTTGGTGTCACTTGAAACCCTAAGGATGGAGGCAATTGTCCAAGTTCTGAACCAAAACAAAACATATAAATTGAGCTATATGTCTGTTCAATCATAATGTACCCACATTTATTATATATCATTTTGTTCTGGAGAAATAGGACTTTCATTTCAATTTTTATATATGAAACTATTTAATATGAATAAAATCTAAAGAAGTAAGAGAAGTTAAAAAAAAGTGTTTTTTTTTCTGCTTTGTGAAGTTCTGCATGACATTTTAACTGTGAATGCCATAAAATTGATAACTTTCACTACAATATAATTGCATACATTTGTATGCTGTGATGTTTTGTACAGGTTTCATTGTACAGCGCTATGGAATTTTTCTGGCACTATATAAATAATAAAATAATAAAAATAATAATGGTGTTTTAGAAAGTTACAGGGTCAAATAAAGAACGTACCCATTTCAGTTTTTACACATTTAAATTTGCCAGATTAGTTTGCAGAGCCCATGTTGTCTTTGAGACTGTATGGCAAACCTTAAATGAAAATTACCCCCATCATGGCATATAATTTGCAAAATAGAAAACCCAGGGTATACAAAGTGGGGTATGTCCAGTCTTTTTTAGTAGTCACACAAACCCTAGCCAAAGTTAGTGTTCATATTAGTTCTTTGCATTTTTCACACAAAAACCTCAGTTTTACTGATGATAGCATCATATAATTTTACTGATGATATCATCATTATACATTTTACTGTTCAATGATATCTTACGAGTACAACTGGACCCCACATGCACAGGTTGAATGGGGTTTTGGAAAGTTTCAAGGTCAAATATAGGGCGTGCAAATTAGACTCTATGGTATTTCTGCCTGTCCCAATATATCATTTTAAACATAATAAGTTTTATATCAGGCCTACATAATCTGTGCCCCACCCCCCAGATGTTTTAAACTATAACTCCCATGTTCCCCTGGCTTTCAGCCATGATTCCCTAGCCATCTGTTTCATTCAAAAAAACATTTGCGTTGGCTATCTGTTTTATTCGAAGAATCATGGGCATTGTAGTTCAAAAATATTTCAGGGGGCCACATGTTGTACAGGTCTGTTCTACATAAATAATATATAAATACACTTAGAATTAAATTATATATATACGCTGATCCCACTCCTCTCTTGGCTGCCTGTCGGTGAGTCGCACCGGAAGTGCTTCTGCAAGCATCTTGCCACCTACACGGAGCAGCTGTATTTACAAGGCCCAGCTACCTGGATCTGGTATCAAACATCCCCAACTGGAGCTGGCAATGCAGGGGCAGAGTAGAGTTTAACGCGGGTCGGAGGGGGCAGTTTTTTCCGGGGCACTATACTCTGTGCCTGCCAGGATCCATTACTCTCACATGGGCGTTGTTATTCTATTTACTGACAGGTAAAGGGGGCAAAGACTCCAGGGGAGTTTAGAGTTATACTTCACTCTTGCATAATTAGGGTCTCATCTTTCATGGCCAAATCTGTTTCATGCCTTATAACCATCATGAGAGGCCAACAACCTGCCATATCATTTGGTTGCCCTCCTCCACATGACTCGAATCATAGATAATGCCTCTCAAAGCTGCTACCAAACAGTTACCAGTCACCCCACTATTGCCTATTGGCATTAGTCAGCCAGGCAGTTCACACTACATAACGGGGATACATTAATTAAGTCAATTCCTTTCTCTCTTAACATGTTTGCTTTAGACTAAGGCAATGATCTCTCCCTCCGTAGCACCCCAACCAGACTTGATACACCTATCAGAGAAAAGTCTAAGCTCTATCAGCTCCTGGTCAATCCCTAAAATCACTACAGAACTACGAAAACAGGGCATTCTATTCTCGACTATGGCCAAGAAAGCTGAGCAATACTCCCCAATGAAATGGCAATCAGATGAACCAAGACCTGGTATAGCGGGGAAGGGATATAGTAGAGATGCATGCTTACATAAGACTTCCATAAACTATGTAAATAATAGACTTGAAAAGTTGGAATTGGCCAATTTGGCCAATCCCTCTGTTGATCTTCTTAACCCTCCCCCAACTCTCTCTCCTCCAAGTCTTTCATGGGGTAATACTCTCGCAATTACTAATTCTAACACAGCAACCATGGTTACCCCTGCCCACTTAGTCCCTCCTAACATTAGTAAAGACATAATAGAATGGAAAGATGTAAATTTTGTTTTTCTCCTCATAACGTCACAATATGTCATTGAGAATAGGTCTCATACCTATGGGAATTTGTACAAAAAGTTGTTAGTAACAGAATTTGTTCTGGCTTTCGGTCAGTTCATAGGTATAATTTGTTCCAATTTTCTCCAATGTGGAGAAGAACTAGATTTATACATGCACAAGTTGGTAATTCTAGGTTATACGTATGGAGGGTATTCTTTTTATGACTATTACAAATCATTTTCTGCTAAAGCAGAAAAGTAAGGCAAACATAAATAAAAAGGTGAGGCGGTGCAGTGCAGTCACAAAACATAAAATAAATTCTGTGCTTTCAAGTGGTTAATATAATAATTACCACTTTGTAGTAAAGTGGTGAACATAAATTTATATATATATATATATATATATATATATCATGCAAATAAGGCTAAAAATTAGCAATCATCAATTCTTCCAAAAAAAGTAACAATTAAATATTACAGCATGTGTGATAGTGCAAAAACAATATGTGCAAAAAAACTAAAAAAGTGTTCATAATAATAATAAAGGAGCACTTCTAATATACTTGCATAGTATTCCTTATATCGGTGCAGTAGATCTATAAATGGAAAGAAGTAAAAGGAACAGTCCTTGTGCAATACTGTAAGATCAATGCAATATCAAAATGTGTATCTATAGGACTTGAATTCACATGAGGAGCATTGATAAAGTACCATTCAATACTATGCAGCATAGGGGGGTTCAGACCCTTGTGTGCATAGGATCCAAAGCTCCAAATAGGACTTACCAACAGTCCAAACCTTTATTAGACAAACTGGATGCTGTTTCAATTGTAGGAGCACTCACTTTCAGATTCAAATCCTCCCTCTTTATGGGCTTATATAGTGGCTATGCTTTGTAAATCCGCCATATCAAATGTCTATATTCCAATGCAAAATCTGTACCACATTGCCCAAATACATATTAGAACAGAACTGCTGCAGCAGTAGCACAATTCAGTGTAAGGACTGATTAGAGTCAGTTGGATTTTGAAGTATTTTGTAGGCTAAAAAACTCCCACATGTGCTGCATATCCATTACCCACTCCACTAACTTGTGCCCCAACAAGGCCAGTCTCCTTACTGCCAATCAGCTCTCCCCTTCCTCCTTAGCAGGCAGAACCCACATCTGTAATAATTTTAGCGTTGGTATTTACGGCTTTAAAGCCTGCAGATTGTTGCATGTGTGCTCTCTGTTTTTGAGCCCATGCAAGAACTATGTGCCCAAACCAGTTACATTCTAAGCAATGACTAACTCCAGCAAATATTCACAAGCTTGTAAAACTCCTAGTTGACCCCCCAGCACCTCAGATAATTATATTTCTGCTTGCACAAGGTTTTTAACCAAGTTTTCACATGGGTTCATCTCATTACCCACCGGCATCCTTGAATGTCCAAACTTACAGTCTGCTGTCAAGGACAATGCTTGACAGCACCATGTGCAAATATATGTATTTTTCAATGTACCACAGTTTACTTAAAGGAACACTATAGGGTTAGGAATAGAAATATGAATTTCTAACACTATAGAGCCCTAGTCACCTAAACAGTGACTAGAGCCCCGTTCCGCAGCAAATAAATGGTTAATTAACCATTTATTTGCTTACCTTAATCCAGCGCAGAGGGAGCCCAAACAAAAAATACCGTATATACTCGAGTATAAGCCGAGTTTTTCAGCACATTTTTTGTGCTGAAAAACCCCAACTCGGCTTATACTCGAGTCAGTGTCTGTATTATGGCAATTTATATTGCCATAATACAGACTGGGGGCTGGCAGAGCTGTTACTTACCTCTCCTGCAGCTCCTGTCAGCTCTCTCCTCCTCCGCGCCGGTCCGTGCAGCACCTCGGTCAGTTCCCAGTGTAAGTCTCGCGAGAGCCGCGGGGTTATAGTGCGGCTCTCGCGAGACTTACAGTGTGAGCTGAGAGAGGAGCTGCACGGACCGGCGCGGAGGAGGAGAGAGCTGCAGGAGCTGCAGGAGCTGCAGGAGAGGTAAGTAACAGCTCTGCCAGCCCCCCTCCTCCCCCCACTGAACTGCCAATGCCACTGGACCACCAGGGAAGGAGAGCCCCCCTCCCTGCCATGTATCAAGCAGGGAGGGGGGACCAAAAAAAAAAAATTAATAATATATAAATAATAATAATAATAAAAAAAATAATAATAATAATATAACAAAAAAAAAAATAATATTACATTTTTTTTTATAAAAATGCCCACCCCCCACCAAGGCTCTGCAACACACACACACTGCATCACACACACACACACACACTGCATCACACACACTGCAGTCATACACACACACACACACTGCATTCATACACACACACTGCAGTCATACACACACACTGCATTCATACACACACTGCATTCAGACACACACACTGCATTCATACACACACACTGCACTCATACACACACTGTGCACTCATACGCACACTGCATTTATGCACACACACTGCATTCATACACAAACACACACACACACACTGCACTCATACACACACACTGCGCACTCATACACACACTGCGCACTCATACACACACACTACATTCATCATATACACACACTGTAAATAAATATTCAATATA